AAATTTGAATTGCCTTGATAGTCTCCCAGAGCTAAGGCCGTTATGCTATGTTGCAGCCTACTTTGATTAAGTATAACCTCTTAGTTTCTAAATCGTTCTTAGAGACTTTTTTATCTCCATAATTTCTTTTTTTTCTTTTCTTTTTTCTTTTTTTTTTTTGTTTTTGAGACAGGGTCCCACTCCGTCATGCTGGGTAGAGTGCAGTGGCATTATCATAGCTCACTGCAGCCTCAAACTCCTAGGCTTACACAATCCTCCTGCCTCAGCCTCCCGAGTAGCTGGGACTACAGGTTCAAGCCACCATGCCTGGCTAATCTTTTCTATTTTTGATAGAGACGGGGTCTCACTCTTGCTCAAGCTGGTCTCAAATTCCTGGCCTCAAGCAATCCTCCCACCTCGGCCTCCCAGAGTGCTAGGATTACGGTCATGACCCACGGCGCCCAGACCCATAATATCTTTTCTGTATGTTTTCTTAGCCCTTTTGTAAATCCTATAATTTATTTTCCCATTTAGTTCATTCAAAATCATCTCCTTTTGGCGATGACATTCTTAACATCCAGGCTGTTCATCTAGAGTAATCAATGAGAAGCAGTACTACCTGTTCTTTTTTGTGCATAGGATACCACATTGGTAACAACAAACAATAGTTTGCTGAGAAAAAAACGTCATCGCACTACATCTAGAAGGTCCAGCTTCCTACTTTTCTTTAGGTTATCTATTAATATAATGGTATTGGAGTGGGGCATTATTTCAATTAGGGAGAATCTATCTCCTTTTATATTTGCCTTTCTGTCAGAACACCCTTCAAAAGTGCCTTGAATTACAGCTTCTTTGGACATATGACACAAATCTGTGTCCGGAAGGACCTAGACCAGGGAGACCCAAATTGTCTTTTCTGTATTTATTCCACAGTATTTATGTTGTACCTTCTATATTATCTGTACTTTCTAGGCACTGGAGTAACAAAGATGAACAGGGATTTAGAGTATAGTTGGGGAGTGAGACCCATAAATTTAAAAGTACCATGTAGCATGCTTCAATAGAGGAATACACACAGTGGTAAGAGAGCACAGAGGGGACCAGGCAAGGATTCCTAGAGGGATAACACTTGAAGGATGAGTAGGAGCTGAATGAACACACACAGTGGGGAAAGGAGCTTTAATTTCAGAGGGAATAATATGTAGGCATCAAGTTTTAAGATCACTTGCTGAAATAAGAAAAAAAAAGAATGTTGAAAGGGAAGGAGAAAAAAATGAGTACAACTGTAGATAAGTACATAGGTGGTGGATAGAAAGACGGGAGCTTCTTCCTGAGAGCTCTTGTTTTCTTTATGAAGTAGCGGGCAATGGCATCCAAGGTGAGGGGACAAGAATGGAAAGGGGGCTTTAGGAGACTGCTGAAGGTTTACAAATGGGAAGTGAAGATAACCATGCTCATATAGGAGAATTACTGAGCAATATGGGGAGCCCATCTGTGAGAAGCAGTGATACAGCTGTTAAGACTTCTGTCTGCCCATTTAGCTAACCTTGACTCTCCTTTCCTATTTCCTCTTAATAGAAATTTCCAACTGGTCTCAATTTTATTTTTACCTAACTTCTGTGAAAGTGCCAATCTTTCTGCAGTCCAATATTCTCCTTGGAATTTTTGTAGCTTCCATATGTTAAGCTCGAAAAACATTTTTGAAGACCCACTATGTAGCTGGTTCTACAAAGCTAAACACAATGTAGTGTTTAAGTGCCCTTAAGGAGCTTAGTGACAGAGAATAGGAGAGGGATTGAGGAGGAATATAATAAGTGAATAAATAATAGTACTAAAGGCAGAACATGAAAAGTACATTAGAGGAGCATAAATACAGTATATATAGGTTCAGAGTTCGTAACCCAGTTGAGAATATCATCAGGGCCTCAAGCAGCCCATCTATATAGAACACAGGATTTTTTTTCAGACCATGAAGAACTGCCCATAAGGTAGGGTAACCTGGAACATTCAGAGCACTCCATTAAAAAGAGTGGCATTGATCTGTAAACATTATAGGGACAACTCACCTCTCTAGCTATTTCATTCAACTGAGATGGCTTTATTGCTTTACTACCCCTTCAGCTGCCCAGCAAAGAAACCCTGCCTTCTGACTTCTTAACTGCTGTTAATCTTGACTGCCTGGCTGCTACTTTCTTGATTGTGGTTCTCTCCAAAACTAACTCTCTGTTCTTGTTCCTACATTGGACCTGCTGAATCCTATCCAACCCCAGCCAAGGATATTCTGGTCCTCACCTCTGAGCCACTTGATCAAGCAGCAGTTTATATCAGCAGACTCCTTTACCAGAGAGCATCTTATCCCCTTGAACATACATATTTAATCTCATGCCAATCAGCTACCTCTTTACTATACCAAGCCTCAAGCTTACAGTAACCAGAATCCTGAACACTTTCCTGGAGCAAGCACAACTGGAATTGAATTGTAACTATATTCTCCCAGAGCCGAAGCTATTATGCTATATTGAAGTTTATTTTGATCAAGTATGACCTATTAGTTTGTGCCGTTCCCTTTATTGATAATTTCTAAGCCTAGAATTTCATCTGAATCAATTGAGATGATCATGTCTTTTTTCCTTCATTTTATTAACATGGCATATTAAATGGATGATTTATACTGAAGCACCCTTGCAATTCTGGGATAAATCCTACTTGGATTTAAGTCCTACTTGGTCATAGTGTATATGCTGCTAGATTCAATTTTCTAGTATTTTTTGACCTTGTAAGGTTTGGGGGTTTTTGGGGGCAGTTTGGTTTGTTTGTTTGTTTTTGAGACAGGATCTTGCACTGTTGCCAGGGCTAGAGTGCAGTGGCATGATCACAGCTCACTGCAACCTCAAATTCCTGAGGCTCAAGCGATCCTCCTGCCTCAGCCTCCTGAGTAGCTGGGACTAAAGGCACGTGCCACCATGCCTGGGTAATTTTTTTTTCTTTTGTAGAGATGGGGGTGGGGGGACTGGGGGTGTCTTGCTATGTTGCTCAGGCTGGTCTCAAACTCCTGGCCTCAAGTGATCCTCCTACCTCAGCCTCCCAAATTGGTAGGATTACAAGTGTTAGCCACCATGCCTGGCCGATTTGCTAGTACTTTGTTGAGGACTTTTGCACCTGTACATTTTTTTTATTGTATTTATTTATTTTTTTGAGACAGAGTCTCACTGTGTTGCCTGGGCTAGAGTGTCATGGCATCAGCCTAACTCACAGCAACCTCAAATTCCTGGGCTCAAGGCATCCTCCTGCCTCAGCCTCCTGAGTAGCTGGGACTACAGGCATGCACCACCATTCCCTAATTTTTTCTATTTTTAGTAGAGATGGGGGTCTCGCTCTTGCTGAGGCTGGTCTCGAACTCCTGACCTCAAGCAATCCTCCTGCCTTGGCCTCCCTGAGTGCTAGGATTGCAGGTGTGAGCCATCACACCCAGCCCACACCTGTGCTTTCTTTACGGGCTCATTATTAGGGTTATTAAGAAACTTTCATTCCCTTCTTGCCAAGTGAATGATACTCCTCTCATGAGTATATCTCTCAAGATGAGTGTTAATAATATTTGTAACTATCTTGCAATCATAATATGTCTTTTTGAATCCACATGATCAGATATAGTAAGAGTTTATCTTTTCAATTTCTAACTGAGAAGAATAAGCTTTGGATATCAATAATAAAGACAAAGATATTTTGAAGATTGTTCTCACTGCAAATTCATAACAGTACAACTCTGAAGGATTCCAGTATACAGTTAATAATTAAGAAAGAGGTTCTCAGCTGGTCTGAGTGCAGTGGTGTTTACAACCAACCACAACCAGTTACAAATTTCTTTGTTCCTTCTCCACTCCTACTGCTTCACTTGACCTTAAAAAAAAAAGAGTTTCTCAATATGCTCTCATTTACATAGCATCATAGAGAAGGGTTAAGTATTTCTTTTTCTTTCTTTCTATTCTTTTTTTTTTTTTTTCCAAGACAGGTTCTTGCTCTGTTGCCGGGGCTAGAGTGTAGTGGCATCATCATAGCTTCAACCTCAAACTCTTGGGCTCAAGCCATCCTTCCACCTCAGCCTCAGGAGTAGCTGGAAATACAGGCATGCACCACCACGCCCGGCTGATTTTCCTATTTTTTTTTTTTTGTAAAGACTGGGGTCTCGCTATGTTGCTCAGGTTGGTCTCAAACTGCTGGGCTAAAGTGATCCTCCTGCCTCAGCCTCCCAAATTGCTGGGAGCCACCACGCCTGGCCTGGGTTGAGTATTTCTTATTTATTAGACTAGATTAGTGCCTGGAATATAACAAGCCACTAATAAATATTTCTGATAAATGAGTGAATAAATAAATTATCTTTGTATTTTGTAAAGAAGAAAATTGAGAGTTGGGCTTGGTGAGTCACGCCTGTAATCCTAGCACACTGGGAGGCCAAGGCAGGAGGATCGCTTGAGCTCAAGACTTCAAGACCAGCTTGAACAAGAGCAAGACCCCCATCTCTACCAAGAATAAAAAAATTAGCTGGGCATGGTGGTGCACGCCTGTAGTCCCAGCTACTCTGGAGGCTGAGGTAGGAGGATTGCTTGAGTTTGAGGCTGCAGTGAGATGATGCCACCGCACTATACCCACAGCAACAGAGGAAGACACTGTCTCAAAAAAAAAAAAAAAAGAAAGAAAGAAAAGAAAACTGCTTACCCCAAGAATTATCCTAACACAGTGAATAATGTTTTATATGTGCTTTTTTAATAGTAATCTCTTTTTAAAAAGTCAAAACATGAACTATTTATCATAGGAACCTCAGAAGCCTGGACTAGATGGTAACGGAGTATATAGTCGCATACTCACGCCACTCCATAGTTTACAAACAAGCTTTTGCTTATTTAGAATACATACCTACTTCACCCTCTGACAGCCTCCACGGAAAGGTTGCTTTGTAATTGCAGATACTGCCTTATGTAATCCATATACGAAAACTGAGAAGATGTTTTGTTTTCTTAATTCAGCTTTCAGGCAGACCCCAAAAAACCTATAGGAGGACACATTCTGGCTCATGCTTCAACAACAAGAATAAGTTTGAGAAAAGGAAGAGGAGAACTCAGAATTGCCAAGATTTATGACAGGTAAACATTTTCTTACTCTTCATCAGATTCTTGTGCATATTAAACAGAATTGCCTCTCCTGAGAGGTTGTAATTATACCACTGGCACATGCTATATGTTTAAGTTTCCTTCTCAGAAATTATTCCTTTTATTGGGAAGTCCCTACTATGTGGTAAGTACTAGGGATTTGGGGATTCTGTTGACAAATAGACTTGGTTGCTGACCTTCCAAAGCAAACAGCAAAGCTGGATAATGAAATCATCAGTCCCAATTAACGTGTGGTAAGTGTAAGGAAGTACAGAGGATGGGAAGATAGCCTCCTTTCTTTTCGCCAGGTTAACTCCATTTGCTTTTCAGGTTTCAGTTTAAACATCGCTTTCTCAGGGAACCTTTCCATAACCCTTACAGTCTAAGCTACACCATATATTATACTCTATAGTCTTTCTAGCACTTTACTTGTTTAATTAAGAATTATACATTTTTGGCCGGGCGTGGTGGCTCATGCCTGTGATCCTAGCACTCTGGGAGGCCGAGGCAGAAGGATCGCTCAAGGTCAGGAGTTCAAGACCAGCCTGAGCAAGAGTGAGACCCCGTCTCTACTAAAAATAGAAAGAAATTAGCTGGACAACT